GAGCCCATCTTGACATCTAAGCTGGAAATGAATGATCTTTCAACAACACTCCAGGGATTTTGCTAAGGTCATTTTCAATCATTCACTGGGCTTGATACCCAGTGCTTTTCAGAGTTCCATTGTAGAGCTGGTTTTATTCAGCATTTCTGTAGCCTGTGGGCTTGGGTATTTATCTACTCAATGTTGAGTTTCATTTCTATGGCCCTAACATAGGAATCCATCAATTGACCAAAGAATTCCAAACTATTCTTTTACTTTCTAACAAATTGCATGGTGTGTATGAAGAATAAATTAGCATTAATTTTCCTCCATTAACTGTTAATAAGACATGTTCCTATATTCTCCCTTCATCTAAGAACATCTCTGTTTCCTGTCTAACCAAAAGAAATGATAAGGATTTTCTAATTTTTCTCCCCAGTACATCTTTAAATTTACTGTGTTCCTTGCTTCCCACAATCAAGCTCTAAGTTGTGGCAGATTTCTTCCAGTAAAATATATTGGACAAGAATCCTTTCAGAGGCCATCCATACCACCTACAATTAGCTGGAGTGGTTACTCTGTGCAACTCAAGACACTTGGTCTCTTGCCCTGAAAGCTGAGCACTGTTTCTGCAGCAGATAGATCCTAGCTCACAGAGGCAAAAAAAAGAACTCAAAACTCAGATTTCTCCCCTAGAGACAAACTAACTGTTCATATTTGTTCTTATTTTCAATGTAGGTTACCAGACAGAGATAAATTCAGACACATTCATACATATATGCATATATAGATACAATCTACAAAATGAAATTGATTAGGTTTGAGCAGGGTTAGGATGGTGAACTCCTAACAATCCCAACACAGGAGACAGAGGCAAAAAGATCAAGGATCAGAGTTCAGGGCTATCCTCAGCTGCAATACAAGGTCAAAGCCTGCCTAGATTACAGGAGACCTTATCTAAAGAAAGAAGGAATGAAGGAACAAAGGGAAAAAAAGGGGAAGGAGGGAGAGAGGAAAAGAGGGAAGAAGAAAGGGAGAAAGGAAGGGAGGAAGGAAAGAAGGGAGGGAGGGAGGAGAAGGGAAGGGAAGAAAAGAGAAGAAAAACAAAATCAAACAATCGTATCTCAAAAGTTCTCTGGAGCAGGGTGCTATATAAAGAAATAAATAAACAAGCAAACAAACAAACAAACAAAAGTTCTCTGGATGAGAATGAACCCCATCATCATGAAGTGTTACACTGTGGTGTTACAGAAATTTTAACAATTTATGAGATATTAAAGTCTTTTATATATGTTTGGCTCCCTTCTTTTCTCAAACAGAAGGTTGCATGAATACTGGAAATGAATAAAAAGAAGAACAAGCTTGTTGCTACTACAATGGGGAAAAAAAAAGTTTAATTTGTATTTATTTTAAAATCGCTTAGTGGTTGCCAAAACTAGTGTCAGGTTTGAATCAGAGCCCTAAGTGCCAATCCCCGAAAAAAACTCTAACTTGTACACTTGGGTTAAAACAAATGTTGTAAAAACTTTCTGTTTGTTAAGTGGTGGAGCCTGACCTCACCATTCACCCCTGATTCCCCATGGACCCTCAGACTTCCTGTGGACCTGTGCTTCCTACAGATACCCCTTGTTGTGTTGAAGCAGCTTCACCAGAAAAAGCCTCAGTTCTTGTTTGCATTTCAAACAAGTTTCCTCAGAATATCTTTTGATTAAATGAAATTATGATTTCAGTTTCTTCTCCACAGAACAGTCATGTGCTGCTCCTGTTTTGAAACATTTCATTCATGTGCCCACAGACTTATGAGAGTTAACAATACTAAGACTTAAAATAAAGTATTTTATAGCTTATTTCATTATCTTTGGGATATTTCATAACTAGGCTTTTAACAATTTGGTATTATCTGAAAATACTAATTTCTTCTCCTCTTCCTCCTCTTCTTCTTTTTGGTTTTTCAAGACAGGGTTTCTCTGTGTGTAGCCCTGGCTGTCCTGAGCTTTATAGACCAGGCCAGTTTCTAACTCATAGAGATCAGCCCGCCTCTGCCTCCCAAGGGCTGGGATTAAAGGCCTGCACCACTTCCCTAGCTGAAAATACTAATTTCTCATTAGAAAATACTAATTTCTTCCCTGTCTGAAAATACTAATTTCAGACCTTCTATTTATTCTGATTTCAATCCTTAAAGGGATTAAAATCTCTTCTAGCAAGATTAAAGTGCTAAGAAAAAAATGACAAGTTTTTGTTTTTGTTTTTAACCTTATCAAGAGCTCCACAATGGAAAAAGCAAACGTTGTGAACTGAACCAACACCCCACACAGGGGCTCCGTCAACTTCAATAGCCACACACCAAGCTATAAGTGAGTTAGAGTCGGCTTGTCCACAGAAAGTGATTGGTCGGCCTGGTGCCTAATAACACTTGAAGCTTACCCAACAAACCTCTAAGAGTACTTACCTTACTTGGGCTGGGTGTGGTGGCACACCCCTTTGGTCCCAGCCTCCGATCAAGAAGGCAGAGGCAGACAGATCTCTGAGTTCAAAGCCTGTTCCGAGGCAGTCTAGACAAAGTAGAGAGATCCTGTCTCAAACAAACAAACAAAATGGTACTTTGGCCTCCACGTGTATACGCACTTGCATGTGTGTTTATGCACTTGTGTGTGTGTGTGTGTGTGTGTTCATAAACACACAAAAAATCCTGTGTCTTACAAAGCACAATTCTCTGAAAAGCTTAAATTGCATATATTTAAAGTACTTTCTCACTTTTTGAATGTTAAAATAAAAGCTATTCCAAAATCATTGTTTTTGTTCAAAGTCCATGTAATTGTCTCCAGATCTTGAAAAGACAAGTGGTAGCCTTATGGTTAGGCTGATAGAAATTTCAAGCTGGTCCTCTTCTACCCCTCAAAATGGAAAAACTGTATAATGCTGGACCAGACTAACTGCTAGAAGAGTATTTACCATTAAAAAAAAAAAAAGAAAAAAGAAAGAAAGAAAAAGTTTGTTTTGATACCCAATAGGCCCAAAAAGCTGGAAATCATCAAAAGTCAGATAACTTTTAAGGATGTATTTATTCTTATCTTATGCACACAGGTATTTCTCTTATATGCACGTGTGTGTACTACATACCTGTCTGGTGCCCAAGGAGGCCAGAAGAGAGGGTATTGGATCCCTAAAAACTAGAGTGACAGATGGTATGAACCACACTCAGGTCCTCTGTAGGAGGAGCAAGTGCTCTTGACTGCTGAGCCATCTCTCCAGCTCCCCAAAAGTTATATAATTAAAAAAAAAAAAACCTTATATTAAGACTCCAATACCAAAATACTCTCCCAAATACAGCCCCACTAAATATTAGATATAAATAGGAGATACAGTTGATCTTTTCAAAGTAATATATAAACACTCTCCAGATGAATCAGCTCCCAGATAGGGAGCCTTTGTCTCTACATGCCTGAAAGTTCACACAATTGACAAGCCCCTTCCCCAGAAGGATGAATGACAAAAATCAGTTTTCCCCTTTTTTTGTGAGTGTATATGCTGGCATGTGTGTGCATCAGGCCTGGGTGTGTATGTAGAAGCCAGAGGTCGCTGGGTATCGTTCTCAATGACTTTGTTTTTTGAGACAGGATCCCCCAGTGAACCTGGAGCTGAATGATTGATCTAGCTAAGCTGCCTGGCCATCAAGCCTCAGGGAACCCTCACGTCTCTGCCTCTGAGTGTTGGGATTATATGTGCATGCTGCTACAGCATTTTAAATAGCTACTAAGGATCTGAGCGCAGGTCTTCATGCTTACATGGCAATCTCCCTAGTTTTCCACGCACCACACACACACACACACACACACACACACACAAACACACACACACTCCTCTTCCTCCTCCTCCTCCTCCTCCTACTTCAGCCTCCTGAGTCCTAAGATTACAGGTGTGCCATGCTCTACTTAAAATTCAGTTCCTAGGAAAGGAAAGTCTTTCAAGACAAATAGATGGTAAAGAGCAATAATAGATGTCATGAGACTCAGGTGGCTGACTCACTATTCTCAAAGTCCACAGAGCAGCACCAGGCAGAGTTGTTAGTGATCAACATAATGAAGGCCTGTATAGCTCCTAAAAGTAAGTGTCCACCTGAATTTTATATGTAGCCCTAACTAACAGATGCTATAAAAACAGAGATTTGGCAGCTGGGAGGTAGACTATGTTAAAAGAAGGGTTCTAGAGCCAGACAGACCCAGCTAAGAATCTTGGCTCCATCGGATATTATTTAACCATGCAAAAGTCTCTTTACTGTCAGCTCAGCTCTCCTGTACACAAACAAGTAATACTTCAAGAAAATACCAGGAGGACTCAATGATTTAATAAAACATCATTACTTAACATGGGGCTAAGCATTTCAAGGTATTCCCTTATTCCCTTTCCTTACACTACCCATTTATCCTTCACTGGGCAAAGACTATAAATAGTTAACACTGTGGTGGTGCACACCTTTAATCTCAGCACTGGTGGTGCAGAGGCAGGTGGACCTCTGTGAATTCTAAGCCAACTGGTCCTACATAGTGAGACACTGTCTCTAAATAAATAGATAAATAGGGACTGGAGAAATGGCTCAGAGAAATGGCTGTTCCTCCAAAGATTCTGAGTTCAATTCCCAGCAACCACATGGTGGCTCACAACCACCTACAATGATATCTGGTGCCCTCTTCTGGCCTGCTAGCACACATACAGGCAGAATACTGTATAAATGATAGATACAAAGATAGACAGATAGATAGATAGATAGATAGATAGATAGATAGATAGATAGATAGATAGATAGATGTATTTCATCAATTCCTCTGGTTTTGCTTACTACACATGACAATCAGAGAGCTCTTCCAGCTATCAACCCAAAATTGCACTGTTTATCTTACAACATATACTATAACGCAGGAAGAAAACTTAACTACTCCAGCCTTGAAACAGTTTGCTCAAGTCTTCATAAATAGCCATATTCAATTCACCTTTACCAAGGCACAAAAACCAAGAAGAGACGCTTTCTGTAAATTCATTTACTACTTGGAAGTTTTCAACTGCTAACAGTTACAGAAAACTGTCATAAATCACAAGAAAAATATTTATATTTCAAATACAAAAGAAAATCTTAAATTATTCTTAGTTGATATATCTAAATGATGATTCCCACCACCCATTAGCTGTACTCAATCTGTGCAGCCTGGGTGCTTACTAAGCACTATTTATACTTCCTAAGCCTGGGTACTTACTAAGCATTATTTGTACTTGCTTTTTGTGTATCAGGTTTACTTTGCTGTGCAGTTTCTTCTACAAAGCTAACTGACTTTGTCCAAAGAAATCTCTCTTTTTTGAAAAACCAAAGCTGCTACAGTGTTTCCAGATCTACCTCCAAAGGTGAACTTGGGTGTTGGCAGCTCTTCAAAAAGTTCAAATCCTATAAGACAAAATTAAATACCTGTGTTAGAAATATATGTACCAACAATGTTCTTCCAAAAACTTTCTAAAATAATGGGTTGTTGGGTAGAAACAAGCATAGAAATCAGCACTTAGATATCAACTAAGAATAATTTAGATTTTCTTTTGTGATTTCAAACTGGTAACTAAATTTAATTTTGCAATTCCTTTCCAGCTTACTCCCAAACATTTTTTTAAATAAACAAGAAACAAAAAGGACCAAACACAATCATCAGTGAAGTCCTTTTCTATTTCCTTTAGTCCTGCTTTCCCTCCCGTACTCTCCATCTCCCTTAGTCTACTTCACCATCTCCTTGGTAGGACGTAGCTATGACATTCTAAACTAATGTCATATGCCATCACTACTTCTTATATGGCCTTACATGTAGTAATTCAACCACATCAAAGGCATGTACATACAAGGCAATTACATACAAAGGCATGTAATACCAAAAGGTTAAATTATTTTGTGGGATTTGGAGACGGCTCAGTGGTTAAGAGCACTGACTGCTCTTCCAGAGGATTCAGGTTCAATTCCCAGCAACCACATGGCAGCTCACAACTGTCTAACTTCAAGATCTGACAGCCTTAAACAGACATATATGCAGGCAAAACACCAATACATATAAAATAAATAAATTTTAAAAATGATTTTGGAAATAATGAGAGAATTCTGTAAGACAGAGTTCTGATGGTTATATAACAGCATGGATGAATTGGCTGAACTGCACAATTAATTCACTATCTATTTATTTATGGATTTACTTGTATTTGGTTTTCCTGTGACGCTGGCCCTATACCTCCTATATAGCTAAAGATGACCTTCAAACTCCTGACCCTCCAGCCTCTATCTAACAAATTAAAAGTATATAATACCATTATGAACTATATACTTAAAAATGGTTAAAATAGGGTTGAGAACTTAGCTCAGCTATAGAGCACTTGCCTAGCAAGCACAGGGCCCTAAGTTTGGTCCTCAGCTCTGAAAAAAAAAAAAAAAAAAAGAGTTAAAATAATAAAAATCTATGGATATTTCCCACAAGTTTTAGAAAAGAAAATTAAACAAAGATTAATATCCAAATTCTCTTGGAATAAAGAGCACAGTATACTTTTAAAAGAAAAGCATCCTTAGACACTGGGTAGTGTCCTAGGTTCAAGTCTCAGCTTTCCCTCCTCTAAGTAAGACATATCATTATCATTGCTCAAGGAACCTTCTCCATGATCCTGAATTCTATACAAACATGTTAGATAGCAAAGCCTCCGTGTGACTTTCTAAATATTCAACAATAAAACTAGTGTTTCCTTAGACTACAAAATAAACTGTAAATTAGCATTGTTACTTTGCTTTTAAAAATAAAACAAAGTTGGCAAGATGGCTCAGTGCTGAGCAGGTAAAGCAGTGGTTCTCAACCTGTGGGTTGCAACCCCTTTAGGAGGGTCGAATGACCCTTCCACAGGGGTTGCCTAAGACCATCTGCATATCAGATACTTACATTATGATTCATAACAGTAACAAAATTATAATTATGAAGTAGCAACAAAAATAATTTTTATGGTGTATATGGGGGGGTTATCATAACATGGGAACTGTATTAAAGGGTTGCAGCATTAGGAAGGTTGAGAACCAGTAAGGTAAAGGCTCTTGCGTTATCTTTAGTTCAATGCCTAGAGCCTTCATGAAGGTGGAGGGAAAGGAGAGACTATTAAAGTTGTCCTTCGTTCACATACAAGCCTCTGCAATTGCACCCACACATATCATGAATGTATGATACGCACACACAAACACACACTCTTCTATTTTTCTTTTCTCTTTTTTTCTGAGACAGGGTTTCTTTCTGTAGCCCTGCCTGTCCTGGAATTCGCTCTGTGATCAGGCTGGCCCCAAACTCACAGATCCGCCTGCCTCTGCCTCCAAATGCTGGGATTAAAGTCGTGCCCCACCACCACTCAACTTGATTTTTTTTTTTTTTCATTAAAAATAAAATAAGGAAGCCAGGCAGTGGTGGTGCATGCTTTTTTTTTTTTTTTTTTAATTTCCTGTGTTTTGAAACTGGAGTCTCAGTATGAGTGTTTTGCTTGTATAAACAACTGTGAAGCACTTGGGAGGTAGAGGCAGGCAGATCCATGAGTTCAAGGCCAGCCTGGTCAATATGGTGAGTTCCAGCCATGGCTACACAGAGCGACCCTGTCTCAAACAAACAAAAGGGTATTTCAGTGGTAGAACACTCTCCTCCTATGTATTTATGAGGCTTGGATCTAGAATTGAAGCCCATAAAAACAAAATAATAAAACAAAGCTGTAAGGTCACTAAACAAATAGCATAAAACATTTACATTGTATGAATAGGACTACCAAGGAAAACTGCACAATTCATTTCAAATATGGAAAACAAACAAAGAATCTTAAGACACTGGTAACATGAGGCAAATGAACTCAGAGAGACTGTGGCATATCACACACACACACACACACACACACACACACACACACACACACACTTGCAGGCACGGGCACAGGAGTCCTGAACAGGTTCAAGCCAGATGAGGTCTCAGCACTGAGAAGCAGAAGTAGACACAGATTCCCACCCAAGAAGCTATTTGTATAGTTGATACCCACTGGGAAAGAAAATTCAGTTTCCTCCAATGGACTGTCACTGGGTATATTACCACACTTCAGGACAAGTGCCATATCCAGGAGTAGTTGGCCAACACAAAACATATTCAATGGTATTTTTCTAGACTTTTCTTTTCCTTTTTGGTTTTGGTTTCTCAAGTCAGGGTTTCTCTATGTAACCTTGGCTGTCCTAGAACTCACTGTGTAGACCAGGCTACTCAAAAATCTGCCTGCCTCTACCTCCCAGCACTGAGAACAAAGGCATGTGCCACCATCACCACCTGGCAACTTTTTGTCTCATTATGTTCTGTTTGAGCATTTTTGCTTCTTTATTTAAATTTCCATTTTTATGGTTTTTTTTTTTTTTTTTTTTTGGTTCTGGGTTTTTTGTTTGTTTGTTTGTTTGTTTGTTTGTTTTGGAGTTTCCTTTTTCATTTGTATGTGTTTCTTGGTCATTTTTGCTTCTGGGTTTTGGTGTGGTTTGGTTTGTTTTAAAAGAGAAAAAGAACAGAAAGTTGGGTGGATAAAGAGGTGGGGAGGATCTGGGAAATGTTAGGGGAGGGGAAGAAACATGGTCAAAATGCGTTATATAAAAAATGTTTAATTAAAACCAAGACTGGTGAGGTAAGCTTCATTCTAAGCCAATGGACTGTGGCAGCTAACAGTGAGGCCCTTCACAGCGACATGGGGTGGAGTACTCTGCTGCTGTCTTGCATCTAAGTCCAAGCACCATTTTCAAAGCAACTCAATCTAAAAAGTCTCTAATGCTATGCAACTGATTCTTTAACCACCTATTATACATTTTCCTTAGTTCTCTTTTTGTGCTCTAAAACTGAATATAAAGAGTTTACTCAACAGTTTTCACACACATCCACATTTTAGAGCACAGTATTCCAGGCTAAAGTCTGTTCCTCATTACCAAAGACAGACAAATGTGTTTCTGTTTGCTGGTTCCAGGGGTAAAAAAGAACACCTATATTTAAGAACCAGGAAAGGAACTTGCTCTGCACAGCGGAACTCTTGAGCATTTATTAAAACTGTCGAGCTTTGGAAAGAAGGAAGGACTACTGATAGAACCCAATAGTTCTAAGAGAAACAAATGTTAACATGGAAGATAATAAATTTAACGACAAAATAAAAGATAGTAAATCACATACAATTCTTGTTTTCTGAAAGTAATAGTAATGAGGCCAAAAGCTCATATTTTCAGGAATAAACACTTCAGGTTTTCCATTATAAAACCTACAAAAGCCACTGAATGTGCATAAGAGGACACAGGACATAGCCTCTCTGCCTAGTCTCCGACACTAAAAAGAAAACAAAATCTAGTATAGGTACATTCAATATGATGCAACATGGGTGCAGAAACAGTGTGCAGAAAACTCTCTTGAGGTAGTTGATTTCTCATCAGCTTATAATAGGGGTCAAAATGTAACCAAATATTTAGTCTAGAATCATTTACTTAATGCTCCATCCCAAAAATTCCTTCCATTCCTCTATAAAATAATTAGTACTAACCCTGAAAAAGACTCTAAGAAAAAGGTAAACAAATACCAAAAAATTATCCAAGTACTTTGCCAGGAATGCCTGTTGCTACATGAATAAACTGGAAGGTAAATGCTTCTTCAAGTGTCCAAAAAAGAGCTGAGAAAACTCCAAGTGCTCTGTGTACAGATACAGAGTCTCAATCTCACTTGACTCCTAGGTAGTGGAACAGTCCTAATTACCTTTGGCTAATAGACAGAAAAAAATCCTACCCAAAATAAAAAAAAAAAAAAAAAAAGGCAGATGGGAACTTCCTTAAAAACAAGTATGTAGAACTGCCATAAATTCCTCATTTCATTTCTGTGCAATGTCAAAAATAATTGTTCCATATATACTGGAAACAAAAAACAAATCCTGAACACTCAAGTGACCCCTAAAGCAAAGCATATAAACTATGTATAAAATTCAAACACTGGTCATGTACTTCCATTTGCATGATTATAGATTAGTGCACTGAAGTCAAAAGCACAACACATGTGCTCTGAGTCTCTGGATAGCAGATCATACAGCTTAAATAAAAGATTGCATTGCTTAAATAAAGAGCTTGATCTTTACAAGCTCATAAATTTTAGTACTTAACTGCCAGGATTTCTGGGAAAAATGTTAAAAAGGCCTCTGGATCCCAACCAATTTACTTTTCTGTGCTTTGTATACACAGTTCAAAGTTATTACCAAGGTCATTAACACAGAAGAAACGCAGGCAATTCCCACAACCAGAAATGTAAAACACTGTACCCACAGGGGAGCTGAGCAGAAGTATAAAAACCTAAGGAAGCATATAGTCAAACCCCGGGCAGCCAGTTACCTTCACTGAATACATCTAGCAACTCTGCCTTGGTCCAATTACATGAGGTTATTAGAAAAAAGCCTTTTACTTCCAACACCCTGGAGAGAGACATCACATACTGCTTCCTCTTCTCAACTGCATTGTCAGGATTAAGACTTATGGCATCGAAAGTCCCTTTGTCAATGCAAACATGAAATCCAGACAGCTTTGTAGAAAGATTCAGAAAGTCTTCTACCTATATTAGAAATGAGTGTCCATATGAGAACAATTAACACAATCTTTATATAACTTAAGTGACAACATGTAAAAGGTTAGAGATAAAAGGGCCCATTATGATGGCACTTTACATATAATAAACATATTTTCAACTTTATAGCTAACTTTTATGTTCTTTATTTCCGAGATCATTAAAGCCAAACTTAGAAGAGAGGTTGATAGTGTTTCCAGGACATTTTAAATCTCTACAAATTTGGAAACAAATCAAAGCCAGGAATACTGGCTCAAAAGCCCATTTTACACAAAGTTGATTCTTTTGAAAATATTTAACATACTTATCAAAATGACAAAATTTATTTGGAACCCAGGTCATTGGAAAGAAGACTGATGACTTATACTCCCACTTGAGTGGCCTAAAGTAAACAAGGAATTATCAAAAGTTCCTTTGTTTTGATTTAGCAGCTCACAAAGCTACTAATGGATATAACAAAAGACATGAAGCTTAAGAAATTAAGAGACTATTTAAACTATGCTTACTTAACTTGGTAAATGTCTTGCATTTTAGCTTTAAATAATTCATCAGCATCCTGTTTTTAATAACCTAATACAACTGCAGTATTTGAAAGAGATGTGTCTCATTTTATAATACAAAAATTTACCAATGAATTTAATTTTAAAATACATTTAAAAATGAGCGATTAGATGATTATCATTCATACAAGTTTAATAGGGCAAGCAACTATCTAAAACAATTTCCCTAAAATGGATACTATATATTGGTATTCAGATTCTTTTTTGGTGACAGGGTCTCACACAGAAGCCCAGGCTCTGCTAGATCTGCTTTGACTACTAAAACTGCAGGTGCATACTAACCCACCACACACAGCATGTATTTGAAGATGGGACCTTTCTTCCTCTCATATGCAAAGTATAAAATTCATTACATCTGAACCAAAACAAAGACTACATGAAGAGCCACTCAGTTCGAGGAACATCCTCATCCTAAACACCTGTACAAAACATTCTTATATTCCAAAGGTATTTCATGACACCTGTACTTATTAAATACAGGATATAATAGTAAGCAAAAGAGTAAAGAAACCTGTGTTAGAATACAACAGCCTTGTGTTTTATAAGCTGCTACTGTTTAAGAGCATCTTCCAGAATACACATATTGGAAACCTAAACACAAAGTCATATGTTACAGTATTAGGAAGGGACCCTTAGAAGGTGATTGGGTCATGAGGACTCTCCTCATGAATAGATTAATAGGCTAGTGAGGAAGGGGCTTTGACATAAAAGCAAGCTTTTTCTGGCTTACTTGCTCTGCTATGATGCAAGAAGATGGCTCCTTATCACATCATGTAAGAATCCTGGACTCTCCATCTGCTAAAACTGTGGACTTAATAAACTTCTATGCTTTATAAATTACCTAGTCTATGTTGTTCAGTCAGAGAAAACAAAAAACTAACTAAAGCATATTCTTTGTTTGTTTGTTTGTTTGTTTGTTTGTTTGTTTGTTTGAGACAGGCTTTCTCTGTGTAGCCTTGGCTCTCTTTGGCTTTATAGGCCAGGCTAGCCACCTTCCTCTGCCTCCCTGAGTGCTGGGATTAAAGGCCTGTGCCCCTATGCCCAGCTAAAACATAAACTTAAGAAAATACTTCAAGCGGCTGCAGAGATGGCTTAGTAGTTAGGGACACATCTACTCTTGTAAAAGACCCACATCAGGTGGCTCACAACTGCCAAAAGCTCGAGCTCCAGGAGGATTCAATGCTTCCGGTCTCCACAGGTACCTACACTCACACACATACTCACAGAGAAACACACAATTTTTTAAAGGTTCAGACTCAGTAGGTAAAGGCTTTTGACACAAACTATGTAGCCTGAGTGGTTTTGTAGAACTGATACTACAGCGAGAGCTAACTCCCCCAAGTGTCCTCTGACCTGCACAAGAATGCTGCTGTGCATCTACACAACACACAAAATAAATAAATGAATATGATAAGATGTTAACACTATTTCAGAAGGGGCCAGCAAGATGGCTCAGCAGGTAGAGGCTTGCTACCAAGCCTGACAGCCCTAGTTTGAACCCTGGGAGCCACATGATGTTGTTGTCATCTGACCTCAATAGATGAATGTGTGTGGACAACTGTGCCCACACAAGTCCACACACAAAAATAAATAAATGAAATTTAAATTTTTAAAAAGTGGGTCTGGAGAGATGGCTCAGAGGTTAAGAGCACTGGCTGATCTTCCAAAGGTCCTAAGTTCAATTCCCAGCAACCACATGGTGGCTCACAACCATCTATGGAGAGATCTGGTGCCCTGTACTGACCTATAGGTCTACATGCAGACAGAATACTGTATACATAATAAATAAATAAATCTTTTAAAAAAATTTTAATTACAATGGCTTAATTATGGTATACCGTGAAATATCATTTTAAAATTAGTTTAGATACAGTGCTATTACAAAAACAAAACCGGGTCTGGAAATAAACTGCTGGCTCTAGGTTTGGTTCTCAGCACCTACATGGCAGCCTACAATCACCTGTAACCCATGATGTAGGGAGTCTGCAGCCCTCTTCTGGCCTTCACAGACTAATATGTATAAAAATAAATAAATCTTAAATAAAATAAAGTAAACATAGGGCCTGAGCTCAGGAGATAAAGTAACTTGCCACCAAACCCAACAAACTGAGCTCAATCCCTGGAGCCCACGTGGTGGGAGGAGATCCTTCTCTACTGTGCACCGTGGCACCTCTGCCCCCACAAAAATGCACAAGGGGCACATGAGTGTAATTTTAGAGAGAAAAAAGCTGAACATAGTGGCACATGGCTGTGCTTCCAGCACTTGGAAAGAGGCATGGGATGACCACAAGTTCAGCCATATAGCATGCTGGAAGCTAACCTTAACGATAGAAGATCCTGTCTCAGTAGCACAAAACAAAGGAAATCATGAGCCAGCCAAGATGGTGAATACCTATAGTCCTGTCTTCAGAAAGTGAAGGTAGTGGGAGTCACAAGTCTTAGGCCAGCCCAGGCTACCAAGGGAAGCACCCCTAATCTTGTGGGGAAAAAAAAGAAAGAAAAGGAAAAACAATAATAAGACTGTGAGTGACTAGGAAGATAAATTTTTTGTAAATAAGCAGCCTGAGCTAGGAAATGGTGCTGTTCTTCCAGAGGACCCAGGTTAGAGTCTCAGAGTCCACATGGCAGCTCACAGCCATCTGTAACTCTAGTCCCAGGAAATACAACTCTTCTGGCCTCCTTGGGCACCAGGCACACAGATGATACGCTGACATACATGCAGGCATGTATGTCACCTACACAATAGAAATAAAGAAATTTGGAGGGCTGGAAAGACAGCTCAGTGGTTAAGAGCACTGTCTACTCTTAACTATAGTTCAATTCCCAACACCCACATGACAGCTCACAACTATCTGTAACTTCAGTTCCAAGGGATCTGACACCCTTCGCACTAATGCACATAAAATAAAAAAAAAAAAAAACTTAATCAAATTGTTTTAAAATATAATTGATTTTTAAAAAAAAAGAAATTTGGAAGGAAAAAAAAAAAGAAAAAAACAGCTGGAAAGGCTGCTCTAAGGAGGCACTATTTCAACAGAGGTGTGACTAAAGGAAACAAACTTGGCCTTTGAGACCCAAGGAAAGAAAGGTAGAAGCCGTAAAGATAAAGCCTCAGACACACTTAACACAGCTCATGAACAGTATCCAGTCACTGGGATACTGAGTGAGAGGAAAGAATTAAAAAGGAGGGCCAGTGGCACACACCTTTAATCCCAGCACTTGGGATGCACAGGCAGGCTGATCTCTCTGAAGTCCAGGATAGTCTTGAGAAAAGAAAGCAAGGAAGGAAGGAAAAAGAAAGGGAAGAAAGAAGCAAGGAAGGAAGAAAGGTGAAATGAGGGCTAAAGATGGAGTTCAGTGGCAGAGGGCTTATCTAAAACATTCAAGGGAATATACTGACTCTAGCACAAGGAAGGGTTCCTAAATCTAGCTGTAGCATCTAGTTCTATGTGAATGTAGAGGAGCCAATGGAGGTCTATGACCAAAACACTGATGTAAGCCAATTTTTTGTCTAAGATCAAAACTACTAGTGTGTGGTAGGTATGTGGATCTGAGGTGTGTAAGCATAAAAGTGGTGAGGCAAAAATGACTGACAGGAAAAGAGAAGAAATGAGGTTGACTTCTTGGGTTTTAGTGTTCTAATTTCCTCCTGTTGCTGCAATAAAACACTCAGACCAAAAGCAACTTTGGATAGGAAAGGGCTTATTTTCTCTTACATTTCCAGGTCGCAGTCCGGCAGGAACTCAAGGCAAGAACCTGAAGCTAGCTCACTTTCTGACTTTCTCATAGGCTTATGTTTAGCTAGTAGCTCCCTATATAGCCTAGGAATACTAAGAATACTAGGGATGGTGCCCCCACAGTGGGCTGAACCTTCCTGTATCTACTGGTAATCAAGACAATCCCCAAAGACATGGCCACAGGCCAAGGTGATCTAGACAGTTCTTTAACTGAGGCTTTTATCTCTGATGACTTTAGGCCAGGTCAAGCTGACGATTAAAGCCATTAGACAAAGAATTAAATAACAATGTTATAACATCCTAGGCATTTATAAGGTTTTTTTACATTAAGTCATTTGAGAAATAGCAACAACCAAATCCTGCCATCCTCACAGTTGAGTGGCTGTAGCTTCCAGTTCTAGTAGAACCTGAGGCAGAAAACAGTACCACAGGGACACCTAGCATTTATAACTTTTTGACCTGATTAATGCAGAGTCAGGTACTGTATGTTTTTGCAAACATGGACAGCATCATATGAACACACACACACACACACACACACACACAAAGAAGGCCTTTCCACAAAGAACAGTGTTACATGCTAGACTGAGGCAAGAGAAGGCAAGCTCGAGACTGCCTGGGTTACACAGCAGTACTCTGTCACACACACAAAAACAAAAAAAGGAATTTGCCTAGACTAACTAGATCAAAATTTAATAGTTACTTTTAAATGCTTTAGTTTGTATTATTTATGATTGATCCTTAATTTACAAATTCCAAAAAGTCAGCAGATTAACATACTTTAGAAACACTTAAACATTATAGCTTATTTTAAAATATTAATGTAAAAAATAGTTACCTTTAAGTTAATGTTAGATACCCCTTCTTTCTCTAAAATACTTGCAGAAAGTTTAATTGCAGAAGGACAGTAATCAATCCCAGTTATATTAGAGAAACCATGTTTCACCTAGAGAAGAGAAACAATTTCATAGTTTAAAGCTTTTAATATTTTTTGTTTATAAACTGTCATATTCTTTGAGTACTAGGGTTGCTTTAACTTTGTTGTAGATCAAATGTCATAGAATACCCAATTATCCACATGTTTAAAATTTTTATTGTATTTTGAACAGAAACCAAACACTTAAATTCGTGACAGTTTTTTGCTTTTGCTATATCTGATTTCTTTTCAAAAGGAAATCTATTTTCTCAAAGATAATATATAAGCCCTTGGGCTGAAAATGTAATATTAATTTTTAATGCTGCTAAGCTCAAATTCACATGAATTTTTCTCACATTTGACTTAACATATAATTAAGTTATATGAATAAATTACATGCATATGTAGTGAGTTGGTTTTAAGCTATTTTCCTTCAGTGAATTATAAATTAATTCTCTACCAGCGACATAATTAAGCCATCTTATATTTGCATAGCACTTTTTCACTTGTTTTCAACTATTTCACACATTCTATTAGATCTTTCTGAAAAGCCTGTGAGGTAGACGGGCAGGTCCCAGTTTCTGCAGGGAACAGCAGAAAGGCCACAGGGCTTGAGGGTTTACTATCTGCTGGGCATAAACCCTCCTCAGATGTATGGTGCCTATGGCAATGGTTTCTGTTCTTTACCCACATACAATTATGCTGCTCATTATGAAAAAATAATTTCAAGGGCTGGAGAGATGGCTCCGAGGTTAAGAGCACTGGCTGTTCTTCTAAAAGGTCCTGAGCTTAATTCTCAGCAATCACATGGTGGCCCATAACTATCTACAGTGGGATCTGGTACCCTCTTCTGGTGCACAGGCACACATGCAGGCAGAACATCATATAAATAATAAATAAGTAAATCTTTTAAAAAAGAAAAAGTAAAATTTAAAAGAAATTAAAACAATAAAGGTTGCAAAATGTGGTATGGTCTGAAATTTTCCTGGTGGATAACCATTTACTAAATGGTTACTTCTTCCAAAAGTTAACATAGTACCAGGCATGCATGAACATCTTTAATCTCTGAACTGGGAGGCAGAGGCAAAAAGTTCTCTGTGAGTTTGATGCCAGCCTGATGTTCCAGGCCAGCCAAGGCTACCTAGTAAGACCCGTGTCAGGAAAAAAAAAAAAAAATAGATGAAGAAGAAGAGGAGGAGGAGGAGAAGAGGAGGAGCAGGAGGAGGAAGAGCAGGAGGAGGAGGAGAAGAAGAGGAAGAGGAAAAAGAAGGAGAAAAGAAGAAGAAGAAGAAGAAGAAGAAGAAGAAGAAGAAGAAGAAGAA